AATAGTTTAATAACTTATGTTGTTGTGGACTGTAACTGCCCTTTCATTTGCTGGCTTTCATTGTATTGTCATTCACAACTCAACCTTTCCATTCATGCCTACGGTCATATCCTGAGAAAGTGAACAAGTTGTAACTTATTTTCGTATTTCCACTAGCTCCTATATAGCCTCTAATAGTAGGGTAATTGATACTCTAATGCTCATCGTTTTTGGAATGTACTCATACCAAAATTTTAAAAGAAAACACTACATAACTGAGCACATACAGTCAGGTTATGTAGCAAGTTGGTTAAATCCTCCTGAGCTGACATGTGAGCTTACGCCTTGTACAGAGCTGTGACCAGCAGACTTCCAGTTGGTCCCACTGTTGTACTGGGTGACACGGTGTCATCTGGGAGTGGGAGCTGGCCAGGTGTAAACTTAGCCACATCTCTTCCTTGCGTGCTGCTGCCTACAGAAACTGGCATAATTTAATCATGTTAGCCTAGTAGGACAGGCAGTAGGACAGACAGGTTTGCTACAGACACTTAATTAAAGATAATTTCCTAATTAGCCATCCTGATACTTGAGAATACAGGGCACTCGTGCTTAAACTGTTTGAAAAGGAGATACCTTCAAAGGTAAATAACTGAAATACATTAGAAGCTTTTTTAGGCTGTTGGATTTGTTTGGTAATAATTTTCTATTTTCTTCAGTTGCTCAGTTTGATTATATGTCTGAAAGATCATATCACAAGCAAGTTTCCATGCCCATATTGTGCAACAAACCACCCATGATGAACATCAGCCCTACTGAGTAGAACTTCAGGCCAAGGAGAAGCAGTACCTTTGATCTTTGAGGTATTGCTAGCTGCCTGAAGTTTTTCAGTTAATATCCAAGAGGTGGGTTTCAGTAGTGCAAACAGGAAAGAGCTGCTGGCTGGGCTGCTCTGCGAAGTCCTTGGATAGTGGAACCTTTCCCTGTCCTCTGCTTGTCAGACCTCATCTGGCAGAACCTCTGCCCATCTGGAGATGCTCTGCAGGAAGTTTTCCCTTGCATTCAGGAAGGGACTTGCCTGAAGTCTTGGTGTGTGTAGTATCTACACATTTGACCCGTTACTCTCATTTACATATGAATTTGTGGGCAATGTTATAGAAGAGCTGCTGAGTATTTCAAGTGTTAATAGATTTGTAGAATTCAGTTGGTGAATGCCTATTTTAAATGATTATTTTTTTTGATAATCTAAAGCATGTAAATCTAAGCAGCCTGGGCAACATGAATTTTCAAAGTGAGTGTGCTTTGGAAGTACAGTTCATGTGACTCCTCCTGTTTTTAGTAGTGAAAAATTTACTGCTGGGAAACTTGGAAATAGTGTTTCCAGAGGCTATGTTACAGAGTACTAACAGGCAAGTTTGGTATTTGTAAATATAACCATTTACTTTGAGAAATCTGATTCCAGCTGTAATCCAATATGCATGTTTCAGTCTTACAGATAGGAGAGAGGCAATCCAATTAGCCAATAACGGTATACCATGTGATATATGAACCCATCTGAAACAATTTGAATTTAAATACCCACAGCAACTGTTCATGGACTGATAAAGAATTATCTTTGACTGCACTCAACAAATCAGTTTGAATTATTAACATAGAACCACTTGAATCTGCTCACGAACAGGAAGACTTAAATTGAACCGAATGCATTATTTGATGCAAGGAACTTGCACAACATTTGTAAACAGTGGTGTACCATAAGAAGTATCTCCTGCATCTTTTGTAACAACATGTGGAGTATTCATTAACAAACACCACATTGTAATCAGAACTCTAAATGTAAACCTTATCTTGAACTAGAGGAAGCAGTATAGCAGATTTAAATTTCAACCTGAGCTGGGGCAACTTCAAAAGTCTTGAAATAGATCAAACAGGAACAAGTGCTTCTATAAACTCTATAGTTCCTGGAGAAAACAGTCTGAAAGGTCTTCAAATTTATCCCAGCAAAATAGGAGGTTCTTGTTTACTACTGCGAAAGAAATTCACCAGTATTAAAGGAGAGACATCCCCACCCAAAACACCTGGATGTTTTTATCTAGATAAGGAAAAGGCAACTTCTAAAACTTGTGTTTTGCTCTCCTTTTCTCTACTAATTCCTTTTCTATGTGATTTTTGAAAATGTATATTAGTATTGGTCAACGACCTTCCTCACTGGACACATTTAGTTACCAGACATAAACACTGTGTAAATAGCTCATGCTGTGCAGCTCTGCCAATGCCTCCCACACCTGACAGTTAAGACTTAAGTGGACTGGAAGGGAGGCTGTTAAGGGGTTCCTGCCAAGTAGCTACAGGCTGCAATCGACTGAATGCATCTTGTATGAGTACCCTGAGCTTACTCCGAGTTATTTTTCCCTCTCAACATCGCTTGTTTTATTGTGTAACACTTCATGTTTTTTGAGGCTGAGATAGGGAGATGGATTTGCACCGTGTATCATTGTAATGTTTTGCTAAAGCAATGTTGTGATTAAGAACACAGATTTCTTCATTTGTTGGACAGGAATATCCTGTAACTTCAGAGGAGAACTCCAGGAATGGCGAGGGTGTTTTTGACAGCCCTACCCCACCAAAATACAGTGAGATTATCAATGGATTTCTTGTCCGGGAGGTCATATCCTAAAATACTTAGTAAAGTGAATTTTTTCACTAATTAAAGACACAGGTCTGAGGAAGCCACCATTGCTTCCTCAATATTTGTCAACCAAGGATCATAAAAGTTATATGAGGATGATATTTTGTACATTTGTGATGCTGTATTTTTATATACATCTTTTTAAGATTTACACTCTACATTTAAAAACAATAAATAAATCTCACTAGGACCGTATTGTTCCATCTTAAATTCGAGTATTGATGTTTATCAACACTGATTTTGTAACAGCCGTAGTTAGAGAAGACAGTTTATTTAACAGCTATACATCTTCTGTACATATGTTCCTCAAAAGCTGTTCATGAGCAGACAGATGACTTTACAGCACGTGTTCATAATAGATCACCATCAGGTTAATATGCTTAGGTTCATTTTGTGTGTGTGTGTGGCTATCCTGAATATTCTCAGCAGAGTTGTTAAACACCTGTGAAGACTTAAAATTCTTAAAACAGAGTATTTCAGGGGAAAAAATACAAAAAAAAATTTATGGGCATTGCATGACACTTGCTGGATTGTTATACACTTTTTTTTTAAAGGAAAAGTGAGAGTACAACTATGACATGATGGAAAACAGAACAGTTTTTTCAGAAATGCAGACCATTGAAAAGCATGAACTGGCATTTAAAAGGAAAACCATTAATGAACAGAGCTCTTTGCTTCAGTGAATTTCAGATCAGGCCTTGGATAGGAAAAGTGTGAGTCTGGAACTGTGATAGATTTTTATCAAAATACAATACTTTATGACCAGGTTCTTCAGTTATATAAGGAGGGTTTAATGTTAAATACCAGATTTACTTATCTGAGGATATTTCACCTTGCGCAGGATTTTGATTTAGCAGAGTGATACAGTAATGCACTGAAATCACAATACAAATACAGATTAGACTTAGCAGAAATAGCGATTGACTGTACAGATGAATCACCATACAAACATGATTCTCGTTACTAGTGTCTTATGACATGCTCACGGTCACAATGCCAGGCATCCCCAGTTGCTGGGGAGGAATGTGGGCTCAAGCCAGCTCAAACCTTTCTCTCTTCACACTTCTCTTTTTTAATTGCTCAGCTTTGGTTCTGTGTTGGGTTGAACCAGGCATACACTCCCCTGTGCTGGGCTGGCTAACTCGGGAAGACATTCACACTCTTTTGCTTAAGTTTTGATTAACTGTTTGAGAACAAACATTCACACAACCAGTTGATCCATGCAACTGATATAGCTGTTTATCTAAAACAAAGGCTGCCCTCTGGTCTCTTTTGTATTAAGTTCAGCTTGCTTTGCAACAGCAATGGTCAGTGGATTTTGACTGAATTGAGTGGGAAAGTGTCTGTGTAATAATGCCTAACATGTTTTCAGATGCAGACAGAGGAGTATTTTTCCATGCATCTAGCTATGGAAAATTTGGGAAAACAGCCCAAATATTTTTTTTCCTGGTGAAGGTGTTGCATACTGAACATGTTACTGTAGCTTCTGCAGAGAAGAGTTCATTGCCATGGTGGTATTTTTCTTATATGTGAATCTTCAGTTTAAAATCTTTTGATGTTTCTAAAGTCAATCACAAAGGTCCTCTTAGGGTCACTGGAGAAAGATCTTATCCTTCGCACCAAGATATAAAGCTATAGGACATTGATCTAAGCAATACATCCTCCTGGAAGTACACATTCCATTGGAGTCTAATGTTAGCCAATATAGAAACTTTGGTAGAATTTAACTTAGTCTCTTAGAGATTTTCTCCTTTTTAAAAAAAGATTTTTCATATATACTTGAAAAATTGTACTGTTGCAGACAGAGCTGAACTTCATTCACATGAACTTCATTTTCTCTATTTGCCTGGGAATAGGGCTAAATTGTAAAACAATTGAATAGACGAGGCTCATTAGGTCTTCATTACAAAGAAATTTTTTTATCAGATCTTATGTAATTTTGTTACTGTAGAATTAATACACTCCGAAAACATCATACATATCAGCTTCAATAAGTAAAGGAGCCTGTTACATTTTGGTAAGTGAAACATAAATGCCCCAGGTCAGATACAGCTGGAACAATCTTTTTTATGCCGTTGGCTTATTTTAGGTAATCCCTACAAACATTGCCGTGTATAAGGTGCAACTGTGCTTTCGGACTGATGCATACATATGTCTTCAAGTTCCTCTTTCTCTCCAAAGCAGAACAGTAAGTGATGCCTAAAAGTCTCACAATATTTATAGCTAGGGTTTGTCAGTGGAATTATGTTTGCTTTCCTGTGGTGTGAATATCTAGTCCCAAAGTAGGAGAGCATTGTCCAGTGCTGCCCTTCTAGCAACTGTCACCATGAAATGCTTAGGAATAATCATCTACTGATGTGCGCAGTGAACTGATGAGACTTGAGGCTGTGGAGACTGTCTTGGAATTCCTCTGTGAACAGCCGTTGAAACTCAAGTCCCTCGGAGCTGCTCTTTTCTTATGGCTGGTGTGGGTGCTGTCTCCATCATTAGCGTCGAATACCACTGTCATGCTGGACTCCATCCTGGACACAGTGTATAGGCTACTTTGCCGGGTGGGATGAAACCTGGCTGCCTTGAGCTCTAGCTCGTCATAGCTGGACACCTCAATGAAGGGGCACCAGCGGAAAGCTCGCTTGAAGCCAGCTCGGAACCTGGGAGGAAAGATGCTTGGTGAAAGTCTATGCTTGCAAGAGCCAGCCACAAGCCTTCATCTGAAAACATACACTGTGCTGACAGGACGCCGACTTGGCTAATTATCTTGCCCTAGTCCTGCTTGTGGTGAAGTCAGTGGCAGTTTGCGAGACTAAAGTCTGAGTAGGGTAAAAAAAGATAGTGGTAACAGCTCATTTCTGTTTCTGACTTTCTATAAACTTTCCCTGCATTTTAACATCGGTATTTTCCTGATACTCAATTTCCCTTCCTTTGCCCGTGCCTAAATAAACAAACATCAGCTTTCATAACACTATCTTCACAGAAATTGTTTTCATTTGACCTGTGATGAAATCTGCACCTGTATTTTTGTCTTCTCTCAGCAAGACACTTTATAGCACTCTTGTCTCTAAAATACCATTGCAGCTTCCAGATTCCAATATCTCTTCTGTGTTTCCCTCTCTAACAGAGATGCTTAAGTGGGAATGGCGTAATGACTAATAATTATTCATATAAATTGGAAAATAATTTGTAATAATGAAAGAAGATTCTAGGAAGTTGAAAACTGAATGTGAGCAATGTACAAATGGGAATTTTGAGGCTTTAGCACATTAGTGCTTGCAATATTCATACAGTCTTATTTCAATTCAGAGGCAGAGATTTACTATAAAGACTATTGTTACTTTTTGTGTGTATGCATTTCCAGAATAGAATTTACATATATTAGAAAAACAATTTGCTGCATATTTGTGTGTAACCTGAAAAAGAACACGTTTTCACCTAGGCCTAAAACTTCTCAGACTTTCTCACTTGTCTTGCTTCTCTTGTTTTTCTTTCAACAATCAACTGCATTTGTTGTGTTTGTAAGCTTTTTGGAGCAATGGTTCAGCTACCACAGTGATGATTACAGATAAAATTTAGATTAGTATTTCAGTGAAAGATGACTGATCTCACAGAAATTACTTTCTTTCCTCCTCAATTTTTTAGGTTTGCCACAAAGCTGCCACACGATGACAAACAAGCAGGTAGCTTGCTGTTCAGCATTCTTCTGTTTAGATGCAGTCCACATTATGAAAAAATATTGAAAGAACCTCTCATGGAAATTAATTTAGTGAAGGAAATTGTAAAACCTAAACAACTTTAGACTGCATTACTTTTCACCTCAACTTCTAACCTCTTTCTCATTCAGGGCATGGTTTTTCTTCATCTTGAAATAATGCTCTCTTTATCTAGATACAGAAGTAATATCCTAATTAGCCTGGAAGATGAGGCTGGGGATAGGACTTATAAATCCATCTGATACTAGGTCAAGGAGAGGTAACAATACTGCATGAATTGATCTGACTCCCAGCAACGGGGTGTATTTTCCTACCGCATGATAAGGAAGCAGACGTTCCAGCTTCTTGATTTCGATATGGAACTTAATTGTAAGAAAACTTTCACCAGTATTTCATGCTTGTATTAAATTCTAAACAAGGTGACCTTTAGTGTGTCTTATTATGAAATTTTTGTTGATTTGTGTTCTTTATTTCAGACATTTAATTTTGCAGTGTACGAGTGTCAATGTAAGCCACATCAGAGAGATTAATTTTTTATGAGTAATGTATTTTGTAACTCTGCCATAAAAAGTTTTTTAAGAAAATGGCAGTAGTTTAGAGGATTTATGGTAGTAAATGAGAAAAAATGAGACCCGGTTCTTCCTTGCCCTTGATTTTGCAGACACTGGACAAGCAGTGAAATCTGGTTTCTGTTGAAATTAATGGGAAATTTGCCATTTGAGTTAGGATTTCATTCTGGCATACCAAAACTTTACCTCTTCTTTAAACACTTGTAAATGATCAAAGGGGCAGAAGGCTGTATGAAATCAGGCATCACCTTGACAGTTTAAAAGACTGTGAATGTTAAGCATGATAAGCTATCCTCATGAAGGAGGCAGACTCCAGTGTTTTTACACTAATAAAAACTCGGCAGGATTTGGTCATTTCTTTTTTGATTAGACTCCTTTTGACAGGTATTGCATGATCTTTAGTGAGGTTTTATAAATATTTAACAAAATTGGTATAAAGCTTGTCAGTAATTAAACTTGACACCGATTGCTCATTCAAAACAGATTCCAAATATTATTTAAGATTACTTATTCAATACTGATTCATACTAATTCATAGTTCTTGGTGGTCTTTATCCTGTAATACTAGAAGAAATACTGAAAAATAGGACAGCCAAGATGACGTTTGTTTAGATCCTGGTCCTACAAGCTGAAATGAAAAACATGAGTTCATTCTGCAATCCAGTAGCCTCAAACTGCCAAATACCCATAAAATCTCACCAAACTCAAGAAGTGCAGTGCCTTTGAAATTCAGAGCCTAATGTGTTGCTAACAAACAGTACTGTAATTTAATATTAAGTAATGAGAATATAAATATTTGTTTTATTAGCCTGTTACAGACCTCAGAGCTCAGTAGAAATCTAATGGTGAGGTATAAAATATGCAGTAAATCACATTTTATATTATATCCTTCTAGCACTGCAAAACAAATTTGTGGCTACAATTAGTGAACATACAGATTGCACTGTATATCACTAATAACTGTCTTCTTTATTTTAATGTTTTGCAAGGCAAAAACTATTAAACTACTATAGACTTTATATTTGGCGTATGGAAATGGAAAGGGTTGGCTTCTGAATACTGACTTTTACTCTGAAATTTTAAGTAGACCAAAAGATTTACTGGAAGTGCACGTTTGGTTTTTTGAGATTCATTTCAAGTACAAACCTAAAGGAAGGGTTTTTTGTGTTTTGTTTTCTTTCCCACTAACAGAAAACTACTCAAGTGAAAATTCTTTGTCTGTTATCCCATTTAAACCATCTATATTCTCATTGTGTACCAACTGTTTCATAACCATCTCTTACCTCTTATTAAGACAGCAGTAGATGATGGGATTGTACATTGTAGAGCTCATGGCAAGCCAAAAGCTGGCCAAATAGATTTGCTGAATGTATTTCCATCGATTTAATTGTTGATAGATCCCAGTAACTATGAAGTAAATGTGGTAGGGCAGCCAGCAGATGGCAAATGTCAGCACAACCACAATCATCATTTTTACCACCTGAAAGAAGGAAGTAATAATGCTATTTAATAATACACATTAGCCTTTTTTATTTGGACTAGCATTTCAACATCCATTAATGATTTTCTTGCATTTGATTATTATAGTTAGTCAAAGCAAAGCTGAATATGCTTTTATATATTTTTCCTTTTAATCTGACTTTACAAATTTCGGTTTATTTTCTTTCTTTCTTTTTTTTTTTTTTTTTTCTTTTTCCTTGGCTGGAGATCTTCCTTTTCCTAAGAAAAATAGCATGAAAATCTTCTCTAACTTTATTTGTATTGATTCTTCCAAGTAATATATTTGCTTACTTATATTTGGCTATCTAAAATACTACTTTTTTTGTACACTTAATCACAGAATAAGCTTACAGGGTGTTTTATTTGGACACTTCATTTTGGCCTTTATTGACCCTGATATCTTTTGTATTGTGGTCTGCAAGTGTATTCCTTGTCCCCAATTAATAAATGTGATTTGAGTAAACACTAGGTTGTAGGAAATGAGCAATTGCAGTATCCTGTTTAATTTTAGAGGCTAACAATTTCCTTGGCTAGTGATCATTATTTGTTGTTTTCTGCAGGCATCGTAACATCTGTTACTTACCATAGTTTCCATTAAACACAAATGAAGAGAAGCTCTGTTTTGTGCTTGAAATGCAGGAGCAAAAGTTGCGAGTCATGTAAAATTTTCACTCCTGACTTTCCCTCTTCAGCTATGCCAAATACTAGCCTAGCTACCATTTCCAACACAATATATCACACGTTTACACAAGAAATTTTCTTTTTGTAGGTAAAATAAAACCAGACTTGATAGATCTGTGCTGGGAGGTCTCTTGTTCATTTGTATTGTGAATACTGAGGAATAATAGAGATTGTTATCAACAGTTCCTTTAATTTCTCTGTACAAGGTGCCATTCCCCACTGCTTGTGGTTTTGCCAGAAAAAAAAAAAAAAAGAGCTGAAATTTCCCATACCTAGATGTCTTAGGTTGATATTTTTATAAAATTTCAGCTAATGTAATTAAATCATTTTACATATAAATTTTTATGGTGCCATCCTTAACTCGTATTACATCTTCCTGTGGGAAACATAAAGCAATTTTTCATTTAATATCTGGCACCAGTTTACAAGCTTTCCTGCTGGCTGGGACTGTACTGTGCAAGGTATTGCTTATGAGAATACTTATTATTACTGATACATATACTGATCATCACTTAAAGATACAAAAGGGGCATCTGTCCACACATACAACAACATTATTAGTATTTGGTTCTTCTAAGGCACTGTAAATCATTACAGAAGGAAGATCAGTATTGTTATAAGGGAAGGCAACACACCAAAACATAGTATCACTTTCACTTTTGGTGGGTGTGCATCTTTATATCTAGGCATGTGTGTGGGACTGTATGTGAGATATTTTTTGGGGGAGGGAAGAGGTTGTGACTGTATGTGAATAGACATTTCTGGACTAAGTTATGTATCTGAAATGATAACACAAAAATATGTTGTCAAATCACAGTCAGTCATTAAATGACATCTCTTTTCTACTCCTTTGGACATAACTTCCAGTATTCTTCTGCTGGGGATTTACACTTGTGCTTTGCACACATTGTACAGCTAGAGGACTTAACTCCATAGTTTTACCACAATACTTTAGCTCTCTGTCCATTGATTTACAGGTGCATTTTGCTTGTTGCTGTGTTTTTATACCTGGCAGGAATGATAAGTATTACTTCAACACTATTCAGGATTCCTGTAATTTCAGAACACTTGAGAGTCTAATTGCTTGCCTTGATATTTAATTAGCAAGTCTTGCAGTAGCAGCTGTGCATGTGAAATTATTCCTAGAGTTATTTATCATTGGAATATCATAGGTACTAAATGGAAGGATTTTTGTCTCCAAGTTTTCAAAGTACAATCAGGCAAATCCATATTTGTACTGAACACTTCATCTGTGCAGTGCTTGAGAACTGAAGTAGTAGTGCGTTCCAGCAATATATATAGTTTAGTCTGGTTGAACACTGTGTCACTCACACCCCAGAGCTGCTAGAAATCACAGTAAGAGTACAGGTTGCCAGTTTGGCGTACCAAATTGTGTTAACAACATTTTCGAAAGAAAGTTGTTTGTCTTTTTTCTAACATCCAAATTCTTATTGGCTAGTTTTCTGTGTTATATTGAAGGGCAAGGCAAGCAGTGCTTCAAGAGTCTACTTAAAGGTCTCTTAAAGCTAATAAACCTTCACAGTCTGTACAAATAATAGCTTTTTGCTTTCAACGGCTGCGCTCAAAAACTAACACAAAATGAATTAAGTTTTTGTTTAACCCAAATATAGTATTTCAGGTTTTCCTCAGGGAAACAGGAATCCCCAAATAACTATTTACACTATGACCCAAAGAAAATCCTCAACTAAACATTTTTTGTCACAATTTCAGGTGATTCAATTCTTATTTTAAATGTTGTACTTTTTTTTTTTTAAAGTTTTGAAGTGAAAAATGCCAAATCGCCCCCAGAAAATCACATCTTTTCCTGCAAGATTAATGTTTTGTTTAAAACAAAACACTCATCTTTAAAACAGTAAAATCAGCATATACATTTCTTGTTGCTGTTTCTGTCTGGAAATCCATGATTAAATACTAAGTCATCATCATCCTGAAAACAAATTTCTAAAGAAAATAGTTAAACTAGACAACAAGCAAAGTAGGATTTTAGATGGCCATTAGCGTTTGATCTAATTTGTGAAGTAACAAGTCACTGGAATGACAGACAGTGAAGCACACTACATTCTTAATCATTCAGGTTTGCAGCTGTTTTTCATAAATAACAAAAATTATCTAAAATTTTAAAGTATCATTTTTTCTCTCAGATTAGGCTGTATCAGTCTGAGTTTCACTGAAGTGAATGGTGATATATTGATACAGCCGTGTTTAGAGGGAGACATGCAATGGAGTTTCCTTATTAATGCATAAATTGTTTTTACCTGGAACAAAAAAGTGCTAATTTTTCCAGCAAAAAGGGATGTTTAGGAAAAGTCAAAGTTAAGTTGTAATTCTTTTGAGTAGTTATGTAGAACAATGCACTCATTGATGTATTACCTAAGGAGAAGTTAAGTGAGATGTTGCAAGTCTGTGTGACATAAAATTGTCCGAAAAACAGGGCAGTTACAGTTGAATTTGAAGTCAATCACAAAAGTTATGAGAGGAATCGAAAAGCGCTAGTCTGTCCTTGTTTCCTCAGCTAAGAATGAGTATGTGTTGGCAGAAGTGGGAGAAAAGAAGAGGAAACTGAAAAGGAGGGAGATTATTCCCAATTTCTTTCAGAGACAGGCACACACACTGTGCAAGGCCATACCTTACAGTTTATGGCTGCGGTTCTTGTCCATACCCTTGGTCTTTCCAGTGTTAAGTTTCATTTCTTGATGATATCAGTAACTGTGAACAGAAACTGCCTTCAAGGTCTATAAACCCAGGGCACCTTGATTTTACTTGGTATAAATCCTGATGAATGAGTGCCAGTAAACTGTAAGGTCAATTAGGAAACAGGGAAAATGACTGAAACAGGCCAAGTATGAATTTGCCACAAAAACCTAATTGTCTTTTCCCAGTACACTGTGATGTTTCACTAAAAAAATCTCCAATGACACTTTGCAGGTTCAACTGCAAAGTATAAAAGAGAGCCTCAATGTTTTTTTTGTTTTGGAGTACTTAGACCTGTGGCTCTGATGATACAAAGTTCTTTTATTTTCTTTCTTTTTAACATGCCTGTTCTGCTTTATTTTTAGGAGATATTACAATTTTTCAATTGCTTTCTCCTCTGTTCTATGCTGCATAGAATTCGTTAATAAGGGTTTGCTCTTGTGCACTAGGAAACATTTTTAAAGCAAGCAAACCAGAAAATTACTGAATTCAGTTGTGCTTAATGTCTAGCTCTGTTCCTGCCACCACCATTTCACCTCGCAGCTTTCCGAAATGTGTGATTGCAGTGAACATCACCAACCTGTGTCCCAGTGGCCCCATTTTGCCCTGGTGTCCTGCTCAGTCTCCCTTTGTGTATTGTAGGCAGCATGGCCAGAGGAAAGGGTTTTTTTTGTGTTCCAGGACTTTTGTTAAAATGAGTTGTACTGCGTCTCTCAGTTGTGCAACGTTTAGGCAAGTCTTGAGGCTAGTTTTGGAATATGATGGAAAATCAAAGTATTTTATACTTTGCTTTTCATCAACATGTTCTGCTGATATTGATGTACTTCTGCCTATGTCAAAGAAAAACTATGTCTATAAAAAAAGTTAATTTATGTGCTTTGTAGTCTTGCCCATTCTTTTAAATCCTTCCCCTCTGAGTAAGAAGCATTATTTCATTAATGAATGACATGTAATGAGAAAAAATATATTTAAAAGAACAAAACAGACATAAGTTCATTGGAATTGGAGTTTGCAAGTTTGCTTTGTTGTGAAACACTTGAAGCAGTAAAAATGAAAAGGAGCTAACAGATTCTGCTACACTCAGAAAAAGCTGCAAATAATGGCTTTTTTCCCCTCCTGTTTTTATTTTGCATGAAAAATAGCTAGAAAAATGTGTCTGATTCAGATGTAGCATATAGAACAGCTCTTGAAACATTAGGAATAAAATATGCTTTTCTGAGAGACTCAGTCGCTGCTGGGGGCTATAGCAATCCACATTGCAAAGCATCGATTTGCCATCAATACCTAAGACTTAGGCCATGCAATCATTTCCTTTTCAATCTGCTCTGCAGCTCCTTATTGCCTTTCTAAGTAATCTTTGATATTGCTTCTTCTACAAGGTCAGGAATTTGGCTTCTGGTTTCATTTGCACTAGTATCACACAGTATAACTTCATTAGTTTCAGAACTTTTACTCCTAGGTGTTATGTGGATGTAAATGAGAAACAAATACTTTAAGAATCCATGCAGTGTAAGAATGTCTTCATGTATCCACTCATGGATATTATTTGTCCATGAATACAACTTAAAACAGTTCACAGATAATCTC